GGGGGGGCAACCATTGCACAAGTGATGGGGAGGGGGATTTTCAGTTTGCACGATTGTTTTCGGCCATTTGCTTGTGCTGGAATTTAAAGGTATTTTTCTTTGCTTTCCTTGATTTTACGCGAATATTTTTGCGCCCCCCCCCCATCACTTTTCTAATTGTCTGCCCCATAGAAATATTAGGTCTAATATTTCTATGGTCTGCCCCTCAAGTCCGTTCTCCACTAGGCGAATCTTGGCAATGTGATTGGTCAGCGAAAAAATTCGCCGCGAAAAAGTTGGATCAGTTCCTACTTTTTTACTGTTCGCGCGAACAAATTCCCCTGGTGGAGAACGGGCTTAAGTAAGACTACACATTATAAGGGATTGTTTTCTTACCCCTCGTAAACAGTAATCACCATTAAGGAAATCCTGTGTGAGTTGCTGGTCAGGTTGTGGTGGAATCTTACGATGTTCTGCTGATTGTGACAAGTCTTTGGGACCTTCACCCTGTACTGGCATGTACTGGTACTGGAACATAGTAAATGACGCAAGTACATACAGCGAATATACATGGGGGGGGGGGACTTGTACACGGGGGGCTTATATACAGACGACATTTGATGTTATTAATGATATTTATTGTATTAAACATACAGTATATAATATATAATAAAACAAGTTGGTAAACCATTATACTTCTTACTATAAATTACCTCTCTGAAACCAAGTCTGTCTGCCTCAGATTCTTCGATATGTTCAACATAGCTTCGAGGTTCTGCTGGCGAACCTTTCAAGGAATGACATCGTATTGAATGAACTTCATCCTCCCGAACTCTATGGGGTAAAATAAAAGTTAGAACAGTTTCAAATGAAACATGTTTATGAAAAGTTGCAAGGTTTGGTAGGTGAAAATGAAAGAACTTAACGCAAGATTAGCCATTCCAAAGTTGATGCAAAGACTGGGAAATGCGGAAATAAACTCAACAACTAGAAAGATCAACTCACAATTAGTAAGTACATCAAATTTAACCTTACTAATTTTGGGCTGATCTTTCCATGCTAAACTAAGTTAATTTCTTCATTGCGTTACTTTGGAATGGCAAATCATAATCACATCACTGCATATTGGCGAAGTTGAATTCTCGTCGGTGGAAAAAAGGTAATGGGTGCTCTAATTACAGACTGTACAAGAAATATTTTCTACTGTATACAACAACTATTCACACTCACTTGTACATATCACTTGCACACAGTAATGGTGTGAGCACTTCCAACTGGTAAACACAACTTTCAATTTCCTTCACACTAACGATCTATACAAAGACACATACTCTGTTTAGCCAGTGACTCAAGCATAGCAGAAAATACTGAGAAACTACTGTTTTGTACAAAATGTAGCTGACCTCATTGTGCGAGTCAGGTTTACAGATGTAGATGATACGACTTTGTCTTGGTTTTCCTTCCACCAAATCACACGCTGTACCATTGTCCATAATTACTTCATAATAAGGTACTTCACGACCTTGAAAATTGTGTTTAGGATGCTAGAGAATAAAAAAGTCATCCTAGTCAGTTAATATCAGCCTTATCAACAAGACAGCCAGTCTTAGACTAACAATATAGTCTATGTTTTAAACAAGTCAATTATCATGAAACTTTGCCAACAAATTATGGCCTTCAAACAAAGGTTTATTATGCTGTATCTTGCTTAATAAGAAGACAGATATTGCAGGCTTGGTGATTGTCCCTGTCAAATTGTTCACAACTGCCACAGTGCTGAGACATTAATGTTCATACTACAAGACTCTAACATGCTTATTAAAGCACAAGACATGTATTTTTGCGTGCGTATATCATAGGATCTTACAAATTTTGCAAACTTTGAGACCTTGCTTAGCTTACTAGAACTTGTTCTTCCTCTTTTTTCTCTTCTTTTTCCACACTCTCTTTCTTCTGTTCAACCACTTCTTTTGCTGATTTTTCACCATCCTTTCCCTTGTCTAAACAAAGTAGAAATGCATAGAATATGATACACAAATTTACCAATCAAAACACACTAACACTTCCAGAAAGTATGTCACCTTGGCTATACAGCCTTGTTTTCGTGATTAAGAAGATGGGTAATAACTATGTCACATACATGAAAATAAGGAGCTCTATAGCAATTGAAGTGACATATACTTTCTGTAAGTGTGTATTGAGTGCCAGCCAGCTCTCTCTCATTAATAAGAGAAATATAAATTCTCAGCTCTCTCTCCCTTGGCAAGTAAAATTTTCCAGCATTAGACAGAGCAAAATTATAACAAAGTCTCAATAAATCACATCTATGTGATAACTGCATATAGTAACTTTCACATTTTTCTGTCACCTTTTTTGGCTCTTCCAAGGAAAAATTCCTGCAGGGTTTGGCTCTATGATTGCAATCAATACAAAAGAAAATAACACAACTTTAATTGACAGTAAGTCAATTTATAACTTACAGTATAAAGGAGCATTGTATAAGCCTGACTATACACAGAAGCAGAACTTCAGTATGGAGGGTGTGAGCCTGTTTTGCCTGGGGTGGGGGGTGAGCTTGTTTTGCCCGACCAAAAGGGCGTGGTCGAAGTCAGTCCCAACGGAAGAACATTTCAGTTGCTATAATTGCATTTCAGCCCAAAATTGTTGACAGGGGCGGGGGGAGGGGGGGGGGGGTAAATAAAATTTCTGAACGTAGCATATTTCACTAACTTTCAAAATAATTTACTGTAATTTGTAAAAAGTTTCAGTAATATTTTCGTAAATTTATAAAAAAAATTCCTACAACTATTGCTTTTCAATCTGAGAGACGGAGACTGGGGGTGTCACCCCCCAGTAGTTTCACCCCCTGACTAATACACCAGTACAGTACATGCAGTAATTGTTACCCTCGGTTTCTCGTCATGATACTGTCTTACGTGAGCGCCATGGCAAAGTTCATACGTCCAGTATGTATCCAACTAAAAATAATTGATGTAATTGTGACAATTGTTACAAATGAATAATCTGGATAACGTTAGGGTATGGGTGATGTCTACTTAATCGAAGGAAGCCTGGAAGGTTTTGGGAGATGTACCTATAACCCACAGACACAATAAACATATTGCACTTTTATTACATGAAGGCAAAGTTTAGGCCACATTGTCCCCCAACACACACACTGCCGCATCCCAAACACATGCCGTTCAGTACTTACTCTATATGAACATCTTGCGTTCGTGGTCAGTGGCTTCAACATTTCCTCTGGGCTCGGACCAGGACCTGGACTGTAGTCATCCTAAAGTAACAATTTGAACAATAACCATGTTCTAATCCACGCTGTAAACTATTTCACTGTCTTAATTGTATTAAACTGTTGGTTGTATAAGTCTTTTAATATCAGACAAGAAAAGTATTTACAATACATTAGAAAGCTGCAGATTCAGAGGATATAAAACTACCGACATGGTAGTGATTTCTTTTGTCTTTTCTTTATGAATTATTAATGAGTTTTTAAATTTACAAACATTACCATTAAGTCTTCTCTCAGTTTAAGTAATGAGCAATGATAGTGCTCGTTATCTTTGGTCGTTATGGTTACTCGACTTCCTTCATCAATCTAAAATGACATTAGAAAATATAACAATAAACATAAAGTTGAGGATAAATGAATATAATTATGTACTGCACATCCAGCCATTTCAAGGATCCAGTTGTTTGTGATTATAATATTTCACCTTGAGTCACAATGTCCTAAGAACATTTCAGATATGTTTAAAATGTCTAATTCTGACGATATGAGTTAAGAAGTAATAATATGTTGATGTTGTTGAAGCCTAAAACCAATTAAATGATCATGAAAAGGACTTTCGGATATGCTG